AAGTAATTAAATAATCTCTTTGATTGATTGAGAAATTAAACAAAATTCTAGTATAACAATTGAACATATTAGAAATAGGAAACTAAACGGTGAACAAGAACTGAGTTATCAAAAGCTAAAGGGAAAAAAAAGTGTAAACAGAGGGAGAGTACCATGGACATGGGTTTTTTGATTGCAGAGGAAGAAGAAGACCCATCGGACAATTCAAGAGAAGGCCATCTGTCTCGTACCAGAGACTCCCATATGCAATCCGACCCACACAGCTCCCTCCATAACCGGGAACAACTGGCCAACGAACAAAGGTCCGGCACCTTCGTTTCCAAAATTGAAATTGAATAAATACATAAAATCAATATTCGTAGGTTGAAGAAATAATGATCGGAAATGATATGAAATGATCAAGCACCCTCAGCTCACCTGCAGGAACGAAGCAATTTGGAGGGCAATATCCTCCGGAACTGGGAGAGGGCTCATTTTGTTTTGCTTGGAACTTTGAAACGAGAAGGCATTTGACTTCAGAGTTTGGGGACTTTCGGCCTTTTCCTCTTTCCACCCCGTTGTCATTGGAGTATCCTTCAAGGAATGACGCGTAAACTCGCGTTTCGGAAACCAAAACGACACGATTTAGACATACCAAATTCCACTCGACGAGACGAATTTGTGCTCCAGCAGTAAGACGACGTTCTGGGCTTCCTTCTCGGCCACGAAACGACATGAGAGGACCTATGATCTGTAGTTTGAAGATAAATGAAGGAAAAGGTTCATTTTTTACGATTAGCTGGGTGGGAAGGCTGCAGATGAGAAATGAAAGAAGGTGAGAGAACATATAAAAGGTAAAACGAAAAACAGGATTGTGGGTGTACCTTTTTCTTTGCCTACAAATAATGGTAAACTTGAGCTTCTAAATTTTCTTACCAAAATTGAAAGATGAAAAATAGAGAGAAATAAATTTGAAAGATGATAAACCAAAGCAGTCTTTTTTGAGTTTTTATCAAAAATAGCCAAAATTTACTCCTCATTTTCATAAATGTCAATTTTATAAAAACTTCCAAAAATAACCAAAAAGTAACCTACAAAGACTCAAATGCCCTTAGAACTAAAACCCACTTAAACCTAAAAAGCAAAACTATGTTTAAGACTTGTAGCGGAAGGAAAGAAAACTATGATGGGTTCAGCCGCCCTCAACCATAGACAAAATATAAAAACTAAGATGAACAAAAAATAACAACAAAAAAAAACCTATTACAATAAATCATACAAGCTGCAATATAATCATATGCATTCATATTGAAAACTAAGAAATTTGACGCATCAAAAAAAAAAAAAAAAACTAACTAATTTGATGGGTCTAGCCGTTCCACTGACCACTGACGCCTTCTTTCTTTGGTGTAATTGTTGATTTTCAACAACTTTTTTCTTTTCGAAATATATGATGGAGATTTTGACTCATTATTCAACTAATTTACTACTCATTACAATATGGGTTTCAACAGAAGTGGTCTATGTTGTTAAGGAATTAACTTTTGGAGACATGGGGAAATAAATACTCATATTTTCTGGAGAAATATAGATAAACAATGGGTATTTCATAATCCTTAGAAATTGGGTGGATTGTAAAGTCAATCTAATAAGCTTTGCGGCAAAAACTTGTTGAGGGTTGGTTTGTTAAAATCTTTGTGTGAACTAAGGAAATCATGTTGCTGTACAAAGCTTGGTGGGGGGGACCATGGATGTGTTGATGGATTGGCGATCCTCAGGCGAAGTTTTCATTATCGTCATAGTGAGCTAATCAGGTTTGGAGTGGCTGCGGGGAGTAATCCAAATTTCAAGCTTTAGCAACTCAACGTACAGAGAAAAAGAATTGCATATATGGGAAAGTTTTTTATTATGAGGGTAATTTGGTCCATTGAAGTGGATTTTCTGCTATATGTGAAAGTTTTTATAAAAACTAGCACTTATGAAAATGAAGGGTAAATTTTGACTACTTTTGATAAAAACTCGTCTTTTTTCTTTCTAACTCTCGACATCAACAAAACGAAGGAGGCCCACAATCACAATACTACATCAAAACATATCGATATCTTTTTACAAGATTATCTGTCTTTTTTTTTTTTTTTTGGTTTTGAGCTCATTAGGGGATACCCATTGGGAGCGGATTCACTATCCCTAAATTGGTGTCCCCTCCATGTTCCCTCTCTAATTTGCTGACACGTGTCAACTAACATAACAAGGAGTTAACTTCGTTAACTTTTTTATATGACAATTTTAAAAATTAAAAAAAATTAAAAACTGCCCAAATAACCTAATAGCCAGTGAGCGTCGTCTTCCTTGCTATAATATTTATTAAAGATGATTTAAAACAAAAAAAAACAAAAAACAAAAAACAAAAACAATAACACCTCCCGGCTATACTATTTTTAAAAGAAATTAGACAAAAATCGGGTATAGCCGCCCGGCTATACTATTCAAAGCAGCTAAAAAGAAATTTTAAAAAATGAGTATAGCCGTGCGACTGTACTATTTTTAATACAAAAAAAAGAGGAAACCCCAGCTATTTGTCGCCACGTGTCAACACAGATTCATTTTTTAAATAAATTAAAAACACGAAGTATAGCCGTGCGGCTGCACTATTTTAAAAAAAAGTATGGCCCTCTTTCATTAATGTGCCACGTGTCAAAAAAATACGTATAGCCGGCCGGCTATACTTACTAGTATAGCCGCACGGCTATACTTTTCAAATACATTGTGTTTAAAAAGGGCTATTCCCTTTAATTCAAAAAATAAAAAAAAATAAAAAAAGGACCATCCTAGTTGCATTAGTTTGTCCCTTATAAATATTAATTTGCCAGTTTCAACATATCCAAAATAGATATTAATCTTCTACTGTATGATATTTTCATATCATTTTTATAATATATGTTATTCTTATTCAATAATATGTGTGAATTATTTATATAATACGCGAATTTTGTGCGTCTTACGGAAAGTTTTGAAAACAATACGTGTATAAAACATTACAAATATGTACGTACAAGTACAATACGACTATTGTATGTTTGCTTTTTAAAAAAAGTGAGACGCGTGTATAGAAAATGAATGTATTAATGAAAAATGCGTACGTACATACATATATATATGTGTGTGTGTGTGTGTGTGTGTGTAAAAGACCATAGCCGCTCGTCTATATTATTTATTAAAGACAATTTTTTTTTAAAAAAAAAACAACAAAACTTCTCGGCTATATTATTTTTAAAACAAATAGGACAAAAATCGAGTATAGCCCCGTGGGGCTATAGTATTTTTAATATAAAAAAAGAGGAAACCCCATCTATTTGTCGCCACGTGTCAACATAGTTTGGTTTTTTAAATAAATTAAAAACACAAATTATAGCCGGGCGGCTGTACGGTTTTTTTTTATAAAAAGGATGGCCTCTTTTTTTTGATTAAGAAAGGGGGCAAAGCCCCAAGGAACAGACTACACAACCTGGTCTAAACAGACCAATCTAGAATGAACAATTTCAAGCAGATCATCAACAAGATAATCACTTAACCAACTAGGAGCCTGCTCAAACACGCATAGCCCAAGATCCACTTGATAACTCCAATTCGCTAACCGGTCAGCAACAATATTCTTCTCACGAAAAACATGCTGAAGAGCACACCTGGGAACCTGCTGCATAAGGTCACAGCAGTTCCTAACCAAAGTAGCTAAAGGGTGCAAAGAAAGCATGGAAGAAATCTGACAGAGATTGACTGCAATAGCTGAGTCCATCTCAATAATGAGACTACTGATGCCTTTCTCAATTGCTAACTTCAAACCAAAGAAGAGACCCCATATCTCAGCCTCAAGAACTTGACCTTTTCCCAGATTAATAGCAAAACCACTTACCCAGCCACCAAAAGGGTCACGAATGACTCCCCCAGCACCAATGCAGCCAGTAACGCTTCTCCTTGAACCATCCACATTCAGCTTGAACTGTCCAGGCCCAGGAAGCTCCCAGGCAACATGAATTTGAACTTTATTTACAAAGGATGGCCTCTTTCACTAATGCGCTATGTGGCAAAAAAAAAAAAAAAATTAAGTATAGCCGCCCGGCTATACTGTTAAAATACATTGTGTTTAAAAGGGGTTATTCCCTTTAATACAAAAATAAAAAAAAATAAAAAAGGACCCTCCTAGTTGCATTAGTTGTCCCTTATAAATATTAATTTGCTAGTTTTAACATATCCAAAGTAGATATTAATCTTCCACCATATTATATTTTCATGTAATTTTTATAACATATGTTGTTCTTATTCAATAATATGTGAGAATTATTTGTATAATACGCGAATTTTGTGTGTCTTACTGAAAATTTTGAAAACAATACGTGTATAAAACATTACAAATACGTATGTACAAGTACAATACGACTATTGTATGTTTGCTTTTTAAAAAACGTGAGATGCGTGTGTAGAACACGAATGCATTATTGAAAAATACATACGTACATACATATATATATATATGTGTGTGTGTGTGTGTGTGTGCGTGTGTATGTAAAGGACAATAGCCGCTCGTCTATACTATTTATTAAAGACAATTTTAAAAAAAAAAAAAAAAACAGTAAAACCTTTCGGCTATATGGCTGCCTAGGAGGCGTGTTGGTGGACGGTGCTTGCGAGGGATTTTCTATAGCTTTGCGACGAGAATTGGTTTTTCGAGAGCTGGTAGTGGAGTGTCTTTCTTCACGGTCCTTATTGTGAGGGTTACCAGGTTGACCTCCATAGGGGCCTAACCTTTCGTAAATATTTCTCTGTGAGCTGGCAGCGGAGCGCCTCTCTTCACGATCTTCATTGCGGCGATTGTCAGTTTGACCTCTATGGGAGCCTAGCTTTTCATGACCATTTCCCTGTAAGCCCAGGCGAGTGCGGACGTCAAGTCGTGGGCCAAGTCTTTCTCGCACGTTGCTATGTGTGTGGCTTGTAGATGCTTGTGACATGCCGGCAAGCTGATCAAGTTATTGTCCCTTTCCTTGTCTGCCTATTCCTGCTCGACGTGCTTGGTACCCATCGAGTTGCCGATTGGTGCGTTCATCCATCCTTCTCTCTTCGCCCGGTTGTCCAAAGCCAATGTTTTGAACCAAGTTTATTTGGTGGAGGAGCTGACTCATTAGATTGGTTTGGTCGTCCATCATCTGAGCTAGCTGGTCAACTCTCAGATTATGATATGCTTGACTTCGTGGATAGGGAAAAGAGAAGTTTGTGGAGCCCAATTGAACTCGGGCTAGGGTTTCATTAGAGGTGTATGCAGGAGCGTGCATCGAGCTTGGAGGCAATGAAGGGAATGCTTGAAGTTGCTCCAAGACTGGGCCTAAGTCAGTGGTGGTAACGAGTCCACCTTGATGGGAGGTTCCACCATGCTTATCGGCGGTGGCCAGTGCGATGGTCTCAGTTGCGAGTTCGGTAGGTAGCACGATGGTGAGAGGTGGCGGTACCACCATGTCAATAGTGGAATCATGGGTGAAGTGGCTTTGGGCCGTCACGGATTGAGCAATTGCGGTGGTTTTGCTCCTAAGGCGTTTGCTTCCAATCATTGTTGTTTGGAAGGCTTCGGTGGATTGGAAAATAGGAGGAACTGATTCTTTGAGCACGCGTTGAGTATAACTCGTGCTCTCAATGAAAGCACCAAATGTTTGTGCAAATAATCTCGCAGGAGAATATTCGTTTCTAGATCCTTAAACCTTCGATCTTCTTTCTCTCTCTTCCTCGATTCCTGTAAAACAGATTGCAGTAAATAGACCACACCCGAGGGGTGTTGGCCAAAGGCCCTCCAATGCCTAAGTTAGTTCGAGTTTTTGTAGAAAAACAATAGCTAAGCAAAGGGTACGGAGTTTATGTAGGGTGTGAACCGGGTGGTCGAAGCCGTGTGTGGTGGCCGGAGCCGTGTGGAGAAAATATGGAGAGTGGAGAGGGAGAGAGAACTTCGGGTATTTTTCTTGGGTTTAGGAGTAGGTTTAGATGTACCTTGAATGATGAATGAAGTAGTCTATTTATAGGAGCCTCGGGGCTAAGGTTTCGTAGAGAATATACTGAGTTTATTCTCTACCCAAATTCGTAGGGATCGAGTCGGACTTAGATAATATCTAATTTAATGATATTATCTCCTCTTTATTGAAGATAATATCTGAATTAAATGATATTATCTCCATTTATAAAGATAATATCTGAATTAATGATATTATCTTCTCTTTATTAGGATAATATCTAAATTAATGGTATTATCTCATTAAATAAAGATAATATCCCATTAATTAAGATATTTATCC